TGTTTTTCAATTATTTCATTAAAATTCATTAAAATGTGTTTTCACGTAGAAAGTTTAGTAATTTCGCGGCACCAAGGGTGCAAAAAAAAAAAAAAAAAACCAGTGAACGAGCCTCCCCACCGCCACCCAAAGCAAAAATTAAAATAAAATAAAACAGTCCAAAGGTCAGACCAGAATCTCCCATGGAGATTCATTTGATTTTTCATTTGTAGCTGAATCAGAAAAGGCAATAAAAGAGAAAATCTGGAGTTGTTTTTTCAATACACGGAAGTGTGATCGGAAATGCTAACCTTGGGAGATTTGGTTCCGTTACTGGGAAGTCGGAGTCCGGAGGAAGACGGCGTCGGGGTCATTGGGCGGTAACCGGAGCTATGATCGGCCGGCGAAACACTAGAGCGGGAGTGAGCATCTGAAGCTCTGGCGACGGAGTTGAGGGGAGAAGAGGAATCATCTAAAGCTCTTGGAACATAAACGCACATATTCATTCCAAGAGCAAGCTTCACTTTTCTCCATTTGCTTCCCATGTCGGTCCAGAAGGGTAGACAATCAGATCTTTAAGCTGGAAAACTTGAATGGAAACGCAGGAAAGATTTGAAGGAATCTGAACCAAGGAGGAAACATGGTATGGGGAGGGCCATGGAATGGGAGTGAAGAAGATGGAAGCAATATTGCTGCATCTTCCGCCCAATTGTCATTGAATAATTGTCATTGAATTTTTTTGAAGGTTTCTTTCTCATTATAATATTTCACCAACTTCGAAGTCGAAACTGCCCCTGCTTTATCATCAGCCTGAATTGAATGACCATTCTAGTTTGTCAAAGTTTTAATTTGCCTCTGCTACCCTTTTTTTTTTTTTTGGGTCCCCTAGTCAGCGAAAACATTGTAAGCTTAGCTTGAGAATTATATTACTCCCTCCCTTCTTTATTATAAGAGACGAATAACCGAATTACGTTGATAAAAAAAGTAGTTAAAATTAGTTAAGAACAATCAATGTGTAAAAAATATAATTTTTTTCTAAAAATACCCTCATTAATAAGGGGAGAGAGAGCATGAGAGAAAACAATTAAATTATTGAAAGAAAGAGAAGTGTGAGGGAGAGATAGTGTGAGTTGGAGACAATAAATATGGGTAAAATAGAAAATCAACACAAAAAAGTAGGGACAACTTTTAAGTGTCTCTTATATATAGAAATATACCATAAGCATCAAATGTCTCTTATAATAAAGAACGGAGGGAGTAATATATATGGGTGGAATCAAATAAATATATCTACTTTTACCCAATATAGATAAAGTTTGCTACATGTACACATCAATATAGGAGGAAAAATCAAATGGTTCTTCTTCTTCTTTTTTTGCTCATAGTCATCTACATATGCAAAATAGGGATTTGGACTAGACCCCGAAAGGTTAATTTAAAAAAAAAAAATCATTGTTGAATATGCATTTTAAAAAAATTGGCAAAATTCTCAATTAAAATTGTATTGGAGAGAATGACTGGATTATAATACTGATACTCTGTATACAAAATTTGTAAACGATTAACTGTTTTTTATAAATAAAAATTTATCAAGTTATGATCGCTAATAAAATTTTTAATGTGAGATGTTTTTTCTTCCAATATTTCCGTCTTTTTTTTTTTCCTTCGGACTCTACTTCTAATAGCTTTAATGATTTTAACTTTTCAATTGACATATCGTTATAATTTAGGTGACTTGGTTTGTTAACAACAATTGTTTAAAGTTTCTCCGGAGGATGACGCAAACTGTTTTTAACCACCATGCGTTGAAGGTTGGAATATAGATAGCAGTAAATTAATTAAATGCCACAAAATGATGTATTTAGATTTAAAATCGTTGACCTTCTGGATAATGACGCTTTAGTTGTATTGTATGAGATGATTAGCAAGTTGGCAAATCTCATGTTAGGCCTATCCCTTTTCTGTGATTTGCTTCTGTGTCTTGTCGTGCAGAGATGGATGATTAATTTAGTGATCTAATCATTGTTCAGAAGACAGAATCGATCAAAGATCATATCTAATTGTGAGGTTGAACCTTGAACCGAACCAGGTCGTGCGATTGTTCGCAATCAGAGATTCAGAGTGAGGGGATTGTGCCGGTTTAATAGTAATTTTTGTGCACATCACTCTCTAATTAATTAATTATAATCCAAGCTGTCTCATTCTTTGCCACCTCTCAGTCTCAGACCAAGAAAAAATTGCTCTGCGACCTCACCTCTCCTCCACCACCGCCACCCTCCTCGGGCTGCAAACGAAACGCATTGCAGATTACGCCGCCTGAAAAGAAAAATCAATAAATCATGGTCAAGGACTTTAGAATTCCAGCCCCAAGGGCTGGCCGAGTGGAGGGTGCAAATATAGATATTTAAATGATTTCCACGTTAAAAATGATTATTTGGTCAGAATAAAATTTAATAATTAAATTTACAAAATAAAAAAATATGTTTAAAAGAATTTTATATATTTATTTCACACGCTATAAAATCATTTTTTAAAAAAATCCAAATAACCTTAAAAATTCAAATATGTAAAGGAGACCTGTAAAAGTATAATATACGATTTAATTTTTAAAAAAATTTATTTTCGTTTTCAAAATAAAAAAGGAGGATTTTATAATTTACGTAAGATAGAAGAATTATGAAAACAATTTATCCAATTTATAAAATAAAAAAAAGGAGCATTATAGTTTAGAAATTGGCACAGGCTGTCATGCTTAGGTGGGGACCGACCAAATACTACTTCCCGGCACAGTTTTACTATTTATATAATTTTTTAAAACATTATATCTATATTAATGGAGTATAAAACTCCTCCTGTTACTATTCAGCGTGCTTACGTGCACTGCTCCTTCTCATTTTTCTACGGAGGGACTTGAAGACTGCTTTGTCCTTTTTCTCTTCCCGACGTTTTCAAAAAACGAATACAGAAGACGGAGTAATTAATTTCATTTTTCTTTGAAAAAAGAAAGAAAAGAAAAGTGGGAGGTTCATCCAAATCTTTCATCCTCATCAAGTGGAGCTTTCTCTAATTGGAAGGAAACGTCTTGGACTAAACTATGTGCCCATACCAAGAAAGAGAAACCGACGAGAGAGAGAGAGAGAGAGAGAGAGAGAGAGATTCCAGTTCCACTAATTAATATCAAACCGGCCGAATACTACGGCCACAAACACCATCTACCCCTAGTTGTTGTTGACATTGAATGCCCAGTAAATTATATGAAAACAGAGCCGTCCAGGTGGCTCTCAGTTCTGATGGCTTCTGGGTAAAGATTAAAAGGAAAACCACTTTTGGTGTAACCAAAAGCAAGGCCATTTATTTAAGCACTATTAGAGAACCTAATCTAAATCTTAGTGCATGACGCAACCTTATCTGTTCTATTTTAATGTCTCCGCCATTGATCGTGTTCTTAGGTTTATTCATTCATGAGTCATGACATGCATAAACCGTTGAAGTCAGAGTTTTTTGTGATTAAATATGGACAGAAATAAAGCAAAAACCTCTTGAATGTGTTAGTTCGGCTCTATGTAACTTTATTTCTCACCTCCAACTACAAATGGCAGCCTTCATTCTCATTTATGAGACAGAGAAGGAATCACATGCTTTTGTAGGGGTTTCTTCATGGAAGCGATACTTTCAGTTTTTCACAGCTAATAAATTGAGGGCCACAAGCCCACAAGAGGCTATTCAAGGAATATACCTCGTTTGGTCATCAGACAAATGAGGCCATAATAGCAAACATAGACACCAGTTATTTTCTTTCTTTCTTTCTTTCCTTTTTCTCTTAATTTGACGTAGTGGCCGCTCAATGTCTCTGGACCACCCTTTCTGAAAATGATATGGTAGTCACTAATCACTAATGCGTACTCCATTCGGCTGCAGTCCGACTATATATATGTGTGCGTCTTCGGCTAAGGCAATTCACCAAGTGGGTTTGATTTGGACCCAACCCAAACAGCTTCAGAATCCCAACAAAATGTACAAGGGGTGGGACCCCAGACATTCTTTTCCGTGGAGAAAAAAGAGTGACATGGATTAAAGATATTCCAAACTTTTAAATACGAAACTACAACCGATAGGATGCGAGATCGGCCGTTGAGATGAGCGAGACGTGTCACGGATATATTACATCAGCTCATCACTGTTCAATAGGCGAAAACTGTGGGTTAGGATAAAATAAATTTAAACCTCTGGCTTGCAAACAATCTCAGCATTTGTAGGCTCGCTCAAGCAAAATTGTTTGTAAGTGATGCGTTACATCAGATGGAAAAAGACAAATGTTGAATAATGCAGTGAGCAATTTGCAGGGTCATGCTGAACCTTTATGCACATCTGCCTATGATATGTTATAATAAAGATGGTTAGGCAACAAAGTGTCATTTAGAGACATGATTAGGAGGTGACAAACAAACGCTGCTTTAAGCCTTTTTCTGTTGACTTGCCCAAAAAAAGTCTTGCAGACTTAGGGCTAGGAGAAAGAGGCTTAACCCCAGAAAGAATCTTGGGGATTCTTTACCAATGATACTGGCAAGAGCACTCCATCTCAATCCCCACCAGAAAAGGAAGAAAGCAAAAACTGGGGCATTCATTGCCAAGTAGTATTGACGGTCTCAAAAGGAGTTAAAATGGGAAAAAGGAAGCAGTGCCCTGGGGTCTCCTTGTTCATGTTAACTTGTGGAGAAGAATAACTTTGCTTCCAGAGATAGAGGCTCTCTTTTATAACGGGCCCTCTTAAGGCGGAAGAAATGAGTGGGAAGTTTGGACAACATTGTGACTTGTCTTTTCTAGTGTGATTGTGTCAGAGTGCGCAGTTTGTTTGTGGGTGGCTCATCTTTTCTCCTTTAATCTCTGCGAAGTTGGGTTGTTCCGTTTCCTTAGGCCTTAGCTGTGTCCCTCAAATTTAAAGGTGCATTTTCAACTCTAAAATCCTAATGTTTGAGTTCAATGGATCTCAAGAGATGGCCGGTTTGAATTCACCAATATCTTTATCCATGTGGCTTGTGGGTGTTATGCAGAAGAACGTAAGCTGAGATAGGGAAGGTGGGGAATGGGGATAAGCTGGTTCCACAAAACTGAACTTGTTGCTAAAAAGAAAAGGCCAAGTTTGAATGAAAATTGAAAGTTATATGAATGAGTGTGGTGGTTGTCAACTTCCATAGATTGCCTAATAAAGGAGGCAAAAATGGAAGATCAGGGTGGTGGTGAGTGTCCCGAAAGGAAAAGCACAAAGTCAATTCAAACGGCATCTTGTCATGTGTTCAATGACGGAGAATGGGCTGTGAGCAGGAATTGATTTAATTCAACCAATCAAAATGGTTTGAAGATAACATTGGTTTTTTTCTTTTAATTTTATTATTAATTTTCATTATAAAAGATCACCTTGTTTCGTACCAGTAATTAATGCGTAAGGTCATCATAGAGCCTCTTTTCTTTGTTGACCGAAATGTCAAACTCTATGTTGTCAGAAAAAAATGTCAAAATTCAATTTATATTGTTTAACATGAATTAATTTTCATTGAACAGAAAAGTTTTTCAATTCTTTTAACACACTCAAGAATCAACTTCCTAATTGAAATGCAGACTGTTTTTTTTTTTTAAAAAAAATCATCAGAATGAAATTTAATCGGGAGCTACATTTCATCAGCGTTGTTGAGCGTAAAGAGGCCATTACTGGTAAAATCAGCAAGGGAGGGTATGGAATTAGCCGGGCCCGTTCGGGTTAGTCAGTTTACATAACTTCCAATAAACACAATTTATTATACTTGAATAATAATTTCCGTTTTCTTGCAGTTACCCATCGCATCCCGGGAAAGGAACATATTCCTATACTCGTATTTCTCATCTTTTTGTTTTTTATATTTATCTTTTTTTTAAAATAATCCTCATAATAATTGTATATGTTAAAATTTTTATCAAATAGTAGTTCTAACTAATACACATTATTTATAAAATTATTTTAGAGAAGACGACGCTTATTTATTACAAATAACTAACTTAACTAATTGTTTTAATCTACTCAAATTAGTAACTAGTTTTTGTATTAATGACTGAAGGTAGTATTAATAAAATTTGAGGCCTCTTTCGACATTGACTTACCCCCTTCCCACCTTGAAAACTTTCCAGTGCCGCAGCAGGAGATGATATTCCTTTCCGAAACAGTTGCTTCAGACAGGTCACAAACATTAAGCCCAAATATCAAATGTCTAGAATCGAAACTCGAAAGTACCAATGACAAGCAAGTTACATATGTTCTATACCGTGGTGATGACTGTAACTAGAGTTTGACAGGAAAGAGAAACTACTATCAAATTGAGTTACCCTGCATGCGATCCCCATTACAAGTTAAAGATGGGCTCAATAAAGCTACCCCTTACATGTGAGGCCGAACATTTGGCAAATTGAGCCCAAATTGATTGGCAGAATCTATAAGATTATTCAGGCCATAAGAGTAGAAAGGCCATTGCCCACTATTACGAGGATGTACCTGATAGGGTGGTGGTGTTGGTTGGGGTAAAATGTAAGGGAGTGAGAAAGGCGTTGCAGGGATGGTACTGGGAACTAGGCGACTGGACATCCCACTTAGAGGGGTGGGGTGACTGACATGACTCGTGGTGGGCATAGAAGTTAATGATCTATACAGCTGGGGACATGGTGCAAAGGTATGCATATTACCAACAACCTGAGGTGTTCTTGCAGAAACATTGGAGAAATTGCCTGTCGTTCCATATGAAGACTGAATAGGAGTCGCCACAAGCTGAGATCTAACCATGGCAAAGCTACTTTGCAGAGTGGTTGCAGGAGGCATACATGAAGATGAACCAACTATGGAGGGCCTGACAGCACTTTGTTCTCCATGAAATTGAACAAACCGTTGAGCGAAATTTGCATCTGACATTAACCAAGTCGTTAGGAAATGATTAACGAAAAAGGTAACGCAAGCATTACAAATGTACATTAAACACATTTAGTGACATGTATGCTTCATCAATAAGGGAAAAAAATGTGCAATTAACATACCTATTGGCATTCCCGTTGCACCTATTAATTTAGGGCCCCAACATTTTGACCGGATAACCTCTGCTAATTTCATCTCGGCAAGAGTTTTTTTCATATTTGCATTCAAGCTCTTCTTCTTTTGCTGATATTCAACCTCCATCTCCTGAAGTTTCATATTATACTTCCTAACAATTTCTTTCATTTCCTTTTCACGATCAGATTTCAACTGCAATTTCTGCTCCCGTGAGCAAGATAAGTTAAAACTAAAGAATAAAATGAAAGAAAACTCAAACTAAGCATCAACAAGGCAATTCAAGTCAGAAACTGACCACTTTTTCATGGTCTCCCACAGCTTGATATGCTTCTTTACGTATTTTCTCCATTTCAATTTCAAGCGGATCAACGTACAATGGTGGAGGCATCCTAAAAGCAGATCGGGTTGCAGTTTGAATAGGTTGACTGCTCATCCCAGGAGTGGACCTATTTATTGTGTTTGAGAAATGTGTTCTGCCTCCAGTAGGCGTCATTGAATCAAGTTGCATAACAACCTGATTAGGAACCTCATCTATTGCCTGAGGAACGTGGCTGGAGACAGTAATTTCATTGATTCGTTGGTCCTCAGCTGTAGGGGCCAAAGGTAAAATAGCTCGATGCAAGTTGGAAGAAGGCAACCTTACGGACAATAATTGCTGTGCATGCTCCAGAGGCCCCATCACCCGTATCTCACCATTAGCTCGAGCATGTGGCGTATAATCAATTGGACAACATACGGATCCAATTTGTTGAGAAGAGCTCTGTAATTCTTCAGCAGTATTTTCATTGGAAGAAGGGTGCTCTGCAGACGGTAATCCCTTCACCAGATCTTGATTGGCCATTACTTGCCTGTCTTGTTGGGAAGGATTATGCATTTCTTCAACTATGTCGTGGTTGGAAGAAGGGAACTCTGAAGTTGGTAAATGCTGCTCTTGCATCAGAGGCTCCATGACTAGTGATTCACTATTTGATTGATTAGGCAGTACAAGACTGACAGGATTAGATAGCGGCTCAACTTCTTGGGAAAATTTCTCCACTTCTTCAGCTAGATCTTGGTTGGACAAGGGAAACTCTGCAGAATGTAATATCTGTACTTGTTCTGGAGAATTCACGAGCAGTAAATCAGGGTTAGTTGGAGTGACCGGGACAGTACTAAAAGGAGTAGACACCGACTCAGCTTGTTGGGAAGCATTTAGCATTTTTTCAGTGGCATCCTGACTGCTAAAAGGGAACTTTGTAGATGACAGCTGCACTTGCACTGTAGTCTCCATAGCTAGTGACTCAGGATTAGATTGAATCGCTACATCATCAACTGGACCAGATGATCGCTCTGCTTGCTGAGAAGAGTAATGCACTTCTCCAACTCTTACATCTTCATCAGCAATTTTATTGGATGTAAATAAAGAGGTACGAAAATCCTGTGGCACCTGGTAAGTATAACATTAAAAAAAAAGGTTTATGTAAAATGAGCCTAATATTATTGAAAAATGTTAAGAACCATTTAGGTAGATAAATCTTCTACTATATATAATTTGGTCCTATTAAAGAAGGACCCTCCTTCCGAAGAGTTTAAAATGACAACTTAACAATTCCTAGCAATTGCTATAAAGACCCCAGTAGCTTTGCATCATGTCAACAGTATTGGGTAAAACAATTAGGAAATATCCCACAAAATTTGAAGGAAAAATAGAGTATCCAGAGAGAATATTCTATACATTGCTATTTGATTCTAGGAAATTGTTTATAACATCCACAATATAATGCAGCTCACCTGGTAACTAGCACCCACTCAGACGCATTATTATCATAAGGGAAACTTTTTAACTTTACTAGCAGAGAAACACAAGTATAATTTAAGTATGCAGAGATAGAGATTAATGAGATTATTTATTTGGATTGCCAAGGTTAAAAACTGATTCGCACCTCATTCACAGCAAGCACAGGGGATGAGATCACTAAAGGCTGCTCTGACTGTGAGCATGATACTGGAATTTCCTGCGACACCGAGTCTTCATTGATGGTTCTAGAAATTCCTTCCTGTTGATCTAATGAAGCAATGTTATCCAACATTATAACATCTGTCTGGTTCTCTTTGTCATTACAACATTCATTCTCTCCATGACTATTTTCTAACACTTCAGTTGGGATTTCTCCAAGAGGTTGTTGCTCTGGCGAGAGTGAATTAGTGTCATAAATAATATCAGAACCATGGCTTGGGCCAGCAGTTCCAAATGGCCTTAGTAATAATTCTCCATCTGAAACATTCGAGGCACCTTCATCAAATCTTTGTTGTATGGATGAAGGAGGCTTTGGAGGAATAGCATTTTTTGGAGAATCAGTCAAAAAGACAGTCCCAATTGTTTCAATGGGTACTTCTTTTTCTAATAAAAATCCCGTGGCACCTTCAGCTGTTCTATCTTCAGAAAAGGGCGAACTGAAGGTGGCAAGTCTATCTAAACCACTACTCTCATTGGCATCGTGGATCGGTACAGCATCATCACAATTTGGCAAGCATACAGCAGTTTCATTTGGGGTAGGATCTGGAGGTAATTGTGAATTTAAGGAGGCGTCCATACCACCGCTTTCATTGGCCTCATGGATTTGTACAGCATTATCAAAATTTGGTATGCATACAGCAGTTGCACTTGGAATAAGATCTGGAGATAATTGCGAATTTAAGGAGACATCCATACCATTACTAGAAACACTGACCTTGCTTCCTAATGAAAAACCACTAGCAGGATTAAGCGATACAGTCTGACAAAAGCCCCCCTTCCTAGTAGAAGGAACCTCATCCCAGCCATCATTTAACCTGTCAGAATTATGCACTTCAACAGCCGCCTCTTGGATGGAAGCGTCCAATGTTTTCCCATCACATACCTTTCCTTCAGATGAAGGTAGAACTGAATTGACTATATCATCTATACAAGAACAACTAAAATTATTTTGGCTATCACTTTCATATGCCCCATCAGTGGCTCTATTAGAATCATGTTCCTTGGAATCAGAAAGCATGGATATAATATTCCCTTGACTTTCAGATAAACTTTCAGCTTTATTATGACCATCATTTCTTGATATTGATCCTCCATATGAAGCTGCAATGGAACCTTCATCAACATAATCAGACGCAGTGCCAACATTCTTTGAACCATCATGAGGCTGAGCTTGGTCACTGGTCTTGGAGTGATTCAACCCAGACCCAAATTCCTTTGAAAGACATATTTTCAGTTCATCTTGGGCCCAATACTTCACTTCTTCTATCCAAGTGGCCTCCCAACGTTGGAATTTCTGCCTTGCTTCCAGTTGTACAGCTTCAAGATCCTTGAGAAGTATTCCATGCTGGCATGCCAAATCTTCAATTCTTTTAGCAAATTCTTTATCCAAAATCTTAATTTTTTCTGACCTCATTGCATCATTAGAAAAACAACAACGAATAACAGCCAATTCTATTTTGTATTTTTCCCTAAAAACAGCCTTTTTCTCCTCATTGACTTGATTCAGCTTATTCTTTTCTTCATCTTGCTTAAGAAGGAGCTTCCTCAGCTTCTTTTGGAACTTCTTCTGAATTTCTTCAATGCTTTTGGTAACGTCTTTCATAGCCAATTCAACCCCTGGTGCCACTCCTGTACAGGAATAAACCTTGCTTGGTGATTCACAAGGTCTAGAAAAGCCAACCCCATTGGAATTTCCAGCGCGATATAAAAATATTTTCTTTAGACATCGCAACATCGAATACATATAATCAGCCTCTTGCTTTCTACAGTCAAATTTTAAATGCTCTCTCGCAAGAATTAGGGAATCTTTGTGGTTAATCTTGTGCTTTAGCAAAGAAGCTGCAGTCCAACACTGAAATTTGGAGGGTTGATTAAAAAACACATCGGACATAAATATTGAAAATAATCATTAGGGCATCAAGGACCCGCAAGATAGCAAACTAATTACTTGCAAACAAAAAAGAGATACTAAAATATTATCAGCATCAAATGATTTATAGCGATGAAGAGGAGACCACATTGGAAAAAAAATCCAGAGAGAGAGAGAGAGAGAGAGTCTCACTATTGACAGCGAAAAAAGTCTCAGTTGAAAAAGAAGAGTAAAGTTTGGTCAAACAAAAAAAAAAGAAAGAAAAAGAATACGAATGCAACATCAAAGAATTTGATGTTTATGTTAATTAGGAATTCTGGGGTAACAGACATCCAAAGCAATTTTACTAGAGGAGAAGGCTGAGATCATGAATCAACAACATGAATAATAACGACGCTAGAATAATGTCTACTACAAGATCGCCAAATAGCCATCTATAAATACAGAGACCTCTTAGCGACCACATGCCCTTTTTTCTGAGTGCTTCCCGATCCAGCGACTTTAATTCTCCTTCAATTATTTTTCTTCTATGTTCTTTATTGTGTATTTCTTAAGTCAACAAAAAAAAAAAGATTGTATTTCTGTCTTTATTTAGTTGATAGCATGAAATTATTGTATTGCACTGATCATCCCAGGATATCCCAATTTTCCACGCCTCTGTTGTTACAATGATAAAAGAGTAGAGGTCAGAGATTGATTGACTCTGATCATCCCTCCAACAGTCTACAAGAATAAATAACAGTTCATTTCTCCATGGGGAGAGATGAAAAAGAGGATGAAATGGTAGGAAATACAAGAGAATAATCTGACCAGAGATATTTGAAAAGCCTGCAAGATTGACTCGGATTCCCTGCTAATGTGGTGATTGTTCATAATATATTCAAGAAAATTATGCACCACAGTCTTGACATTATCCTGCATCACATAAACATATTTCAAGATGCCATCAAATTCATATTGATGATGAAGCTTGCATTGAAATATACAAACCAAACTTTAGCCAAAAAAGACACATAAAATGAGGTAGCTCTACAGTGCAAAAGATCACAGGCTACCAATTTTGAAAATGTCTCATAAATGAATTCCAGCCTTTCCAATGATAAAGAACAGCAAAGGACTGACAGACAATAAGTAGAGCATGGCAGAAAAATAATGAGATGCATACAGGAAGAAGAAGAATTTCGCAAAGCTTTGCTATCTCTGGCACCAGTAAGATATGTAAGCTCTTCTGCTCATCACACAATTTCCTTCTTTTCTGATATGTAGCTTTATCACCTTGAGACAAATCAATTGAGTAAAAGGTATAATTATCACAGAGTGGATAGCCGACATTAGCAGTTGAACGCGGCAAGAATTGAAAGACAAAAACTCTTAAAATTTCTCAGCTTCATCAACTACAAAGGTCATAAGAGAGTAGCTGTAATAATAATGGTGACCACTAACCTTCCTCGTTTCCATTGGATGACTTCTCACCTTGAAAATTTGAAGGGGGCTCATAAACAACACCATCTATCACTTTCCTGCGCTTCCTTATTATTTCTTCACTCTCAAAGTTGGGAGTATTTACTGAACCACCAACATGATGAGCCCTTTGACGACTCCGTTGAGACGAACCACATGAGTGTTTCCATTGAGGAACTTTTCCCTTTAAAAGTTCAGTCCAAAACACATGGGGTAATCCCTCATCCGGAGATCCAAGTTTTTTCTCACCAAGCAGAGCAAAATTAGTACAGTATGTTCCTTCATTTAGCTGGACTTTCAATATAATTGAACTGCTGCCTGGATCATTATGTCCACTGTCTTCCAAAAGTATGGATGAGAACTCACGGAATGCTTCTTTGGAAAGTTGTCCGGAGTCTTCAAATGAATAATTGGCACATGAACTAGAACTTTTGCGATCATGAATAAGTCTCAATTTATCAAATAGACAAGATGAACCCCACATCAACAGCGTATGACTGATACTCCAGCTTATGTTCTGCAAATTGCTATCAAGTGTCTTACCTTGCTTAGCAAGAACTAGGGCTTTTTCTTCAACAGTGAAACATGCATACAAACGAAATATTTTTATTTGTTCAGACTGTGAATCAAGTGTTATCCTCTGAAGCGATTTTATATCATTCATTGGATTCCAATCACTATTAAATATAATAATGATATCAACTGATGACAATTTAATGCTAGGAACGCAAGCATATGCTTCCAATAAAAAAATGAATCTTCCACTGTCAATATTGTTGAACAGATTCAGGGCAGCTAGCTTCTTAGAATGCAAGACACCTTTGTCAACCCGCTCATAAGCATCTGAACCAAATCTCTGATGCAAGAAATCATCCAAAATGTCTCCCATGGAATCCTTCCCAGAACCACCTATAGACTGCAAACCAATCATTTTAATAATAATAACATTAGATAACCCACTGGACAAATGAATGTAGGCAATGAAAAAAACAAGAGAAGAATAATAGTCCTCATGTATTAACCTGCCAAGAAAGTTAGGCAGCACAACAATAAGAAGAATACAACTGAAATTTATGATAACAATCACTACTTATTTCTAGGCTTTTCTGACTTCCTTGCTTAAGTAATCCCCCTCAAAGTTGACAGATAATAATTGACCAGTTGACGGTCAAGAAATTTCCGGTCTAGAAAGCCCAGCCAAAGGAAATTAACTATTCTTTGAAGTCTGGATATAAACAATTTTCAACGGAAACTCTATAATTGGAAAAACCTACACTAGAAGTTCCTGAATCACAATCCACCCTAAAAATTATCACTGAAGGGACAACAAAGAATGTAAAACTTGAGTAGTGCGATTGGACTAACATAAAAGAAATAAATCTTCTTTAGATTGCTTCAAATTCTAATAATAACATTAAAGTCCATAATGAACAATAAATCATCAACATGTTTCCCCATAAAAGCCTTGCCACTGAAATTATAAAATTTTGGCTACTTCTAATAAGATTTTACATATATGAGAATCCCAAATCCCTATGAGGAATTGGAACGGAAGAAGTTTATTCCCTACAATAGAGAATAGGGCAGGGGGTGAGCAAGACTCCCAACTCTTGCCCAGTTGTCGTCCCTCACAACAAGAAACTTGGTTAAAAGTTGCATTTGGTCAAGATATAGTAATACCTTAAATCAAACTGCACAGGGACAAATATATGTGACGCCCACTTATTGGTGTACGTGTTTGTAAAAGGGAAATTTGAACAAAATAAGAGGAACATGTAAAAGTTTTCCTCCAACCCTATCACCACCCATTCTTTACTAGTTAAGTGCCAAGAGAATTATTTTTTATTTATTATCGTGTCAAAACTGAAGCATAGAATTCTTTTAACAATAGTGAAATAGATGCAGAAATTCATTTGCAAAATTGTATAAACCACAATATGTCATAAAAATTTATGAAGAATGGCATGTCCAGCTTGAATTGGAAAAAAAAAAAAAAAAGGTTATATTTAAAAGCCCCCAGGGAATCAATACAATAACCCCAAAAACCATATTTATTAGGCGAACTAAAAGATTTCAAATTTCAGATTACAAAGTCTAAACTAATAGCTATAGATATTATTCTGTTTTGCGGGTATGTGTGTGTTGATACTCCCTCCAATCCTTTTTATAACATCAAATAACCAAAATGCACCGTTTAGGAAATCTATTAATATTAATTAAAAGTAATAAATATGTAAGATATATTTTTTCCCCCTTCAAATATGCCCTCATCTATAAGAGGATAAGTGAAAGAGAGAGACAGAGAGAAATAGTGCGGAAAAAAGATGAAAAAGAATGTATAGGAAAAACATAATACAATTAATTAAGAGTAAAATTGGTAAAAATGCATTTAATGTTCAGACAACCCCAACCAAACCAATTCAAAAAGATGGATCTTACAAAAAGGAATAGAGAGAGTATATTGATTACATAAAAAGAAACACTAAGTGCCATTGTAGCTACTGTAGGTAACTAGTTTGCTTTTGAAATTCTATGCTGTGGTTCATGAATTGGTCTGCCCATCAGGATTGTTTAAGTAACAGTCAGGTGCACTAACATCGTTATTACTCAAAAGCATGGTGAAGACTTGAGGAAGCACAACTTTTAGAAGCTAGGGGAGGATAAACAGAAAACAAACACCTGAAAAAGAATGAGCACCCTCAGACCCTTCTTTTTCAACTCCATAAGCATTGAATCGAGAGCTTGCAGCTTGCCACTAGCTTTTATTCCAATGTCCAGGTAGTCAACTGCTGGTAGACCTTCGGTAAGCAGAGTTTGTAAAGATGGATCAACAACATAAGGGTGATTACAACACTGCCACGAAATGCCACGTGATAAATAAAAAAGTGAAAACATAATAATTTACAACCACTTAAAGCTTATAAATGAATTGGAAAGCTTAAAGGAATTCCGAATCAAGTAAATTACAAAATACATTAGGAATTTTTGGACTAACGTTGTTTCAAAATGCAAAAACATCTGGAGATTTCAACTTTAAAATAATTATAAATTTAAAGCACAACCCCAAAATATCTAACTCAAATTTATTTTTATCATAATAATTCCAAGTTATAACATGTGCATAGATTGTTTGCGAATACAATCATGTGCAAGACTTGAGAGTAAAAATGTCATTATACACTTCAGTCAAGGAAGCAGTTATTATTTAATTTATCATAAATAACCACGAAACATCTAGAAAAAAATTTCAAATAATAGTATAGTATTCTCATGATAAAAATGGTGAGATCCAAATACTGCATCATAAGAGAGCTAGAATTTTTACCTTCCGAGTTGATATAAGAAGGTCCCGAAGGGCTCCAACACAGTCATATTTTGATGATGACTGAAGAACCGAAGCATTTGAAATTAAAGTAGAACAATATTGTTCAAGCTGCACTTGGGATATCTGTACAGGAAGCCAATACTCCACAAAAAAGGAGTCTGTCTTGCATTTATGTGCATTATCTTCTGTCAACAAAGGACAGTGCTTCTTAGTTCTTTCGGATCTCCTCATGGGACTTGGAATCTTTGGTCGCTCAAACCTCTCAAGTTTCCTTCTCTTTGTGTTAGTTGGTGTTGTCCTTTTTAGTAAACGCTTGGACTTCCGAGTTCCTGGAGGAATTGAAGACGCCCTTAATGCTGTCTTTCTAGCAGATATTTTGAGGTCATTTGCATCCGATGCAGAAGAGCATGAGCGCCTTCCATTATTATTTTCATCATCCTTAGACTTGCTACTAGATCGTGTATTATGTGCCATCTGTTCAGTTATACATTTTGAGACCAATAGAAGAACGTGTCAGATTCGAAAGGACACACAAAACAATTTTTAAATGTCAACGAAATCTGGAACAATCTTGTCAAGTTGCATCTCGATACCAATTGAGATTGCCTAGGGGGAAAAAATAAAAGAGAATATATTATTGGAAAGTGTAAGGGAAAAACGCTTATATGCACTATACCATAAGGAAGAACTAAATAGCATAAGAAGCAAGCAACGCGAGACTGAAGTGCACAAGACACGCAGCTCATATGGGGCCAAAAAAAAAAAAAAACGATACAAGGATCCCTAAGGGATTTAGTAAAGATATCCAAAAGCAAGTCATTTGGGTTGACAAAACCCGTAACAATGCAACTGGACAAAAGTTTTCCCTAATAAAATGACATCCCAAGTCTATGTGCCTGGTAATCAGAAATTGTATTTATTGTGCATCATAACTTATGCGATTAGAAATTTCAATTTTTAAAAAGCAATCATTTATTTTCAGAAATGGATAATTGTATTAGTAGCACATTATGTCAATTAAAAGTATGCAACTGGATGGCACAAAAGAAAACAAATAAGACTCCGAAAGTGTACAAATATGTGCTTTTTAAGCATTCAGAATATAGCTATTCAATGGTCAATGGTCAATTAAAGACTAAGCACAGTGCCACTGTAGGGCATGATGCTACCAGCCTCAGCTCCTCTCAAATAAGATATCGCAAGTTCCTGCGAAGCATACTCTGCAATGTACGGGCTGTGCATATAATGATACATTCAGACCAAATCAATACATCGTTCATGAAAGCAAGGAGATGGGGTGTCAGAGTAAGAAAGGGAAGAGAATAGTAGCTTTGTCTTTGAGCCAAAACGAACTGGAGAAGCAAGGGGAGCCTTGTCGGTCAACAATCGGCTACCGTCCGCCAGCTCTCAGCCGTCGCTGCCAGGTGAGCAATGGAGTCTTGGATGAAGGTACTGCCGCCTTCGCCCCTCGCAAAGAGAAAAAGAGTGACCAACGCGTGGTGGCTTGATGAGGTATGGGGACTGAAATTGAGACTTGAGGATGAAGAAATCTTGAAAGGGCAAACCCGCCGTTTATGCAATTTGATTTGCGGCGTGGAGACTGAGAACTTAGCCCTGAAGATCGAGTTTGGTAGGATTAGAATCCATGCAGTGAACAAATAGAAATCATGCCCGGGTTACGGGAGGATGAACAAAAATCAGGAACCTTCTTCGGTACGTTCGATTTTTTGCTCCCTTGGGAGGGAGAAAAGAAATATACGGCCAAAATTCAAAGGGTACGGTTTAGGATTTATTGGGATAGTCAGCAAGAATCTATAATTTTCCCGAAAGTCTACCTTTTATAATTAAAAGTTTTTTTTTTGCCGAAATATTAAAAGTATTTAAATCATTACCTCCGCTAGAGATAATGGGATCGTATCACTCAACTTGATTTCAGATAGTCAAAGATATATTATTTTTCAGATAATAAATAACATGAATTTTTAAAATTTTATGAAAATTATAAGCTCGCCTATAAAATGCGGGAAAAAATAAAAAAAGAACTGTATAAATTTGTTATCTATTTTATTTATAGTGTGACCGTTTTGTCCGTAACATATAATCTACTACAATCATATCCCCTCCCGAGAGATGGTTCCGCCAGGCGCCAATTTATAATTGATGAGTATCCATTGATCGGGTGTCAAGGCTAACACATGTTAGGCAAAACGGAAGAACTGCATCAATCTCTTATTGTCGTTGTTATTGTTTTTGAATTAAATAGGCATTAAGGACATAAAATTATAAAAAATTTAATGAATCCGTAACTTCTTTTTTTTAGAAAAAAAGCTCACGTGTCATTATACTGCCATGTCACTTACTAATGTTGTTTTCAGAGGTGAGCATTCTCCTTCAGTTCCAAAGAGATTAATAAATGAAACATTCATCCCTATGGATTTCTTAAAAACGGTATTGAAAAGTTAGAACATATTTTATTACTCTTCTGATTCTAAATGTAAAATTTATTTTGTAGTGTTAATGACACTACAAAATGCCTCATAAGAGTATATTGTTATATTTAATTTTTGAATTATACATTCACCTTCTGTGAATTTGTTTGACCATTATTTTCCGCGCAATGCCAAGATCTAAATCAAAATGCAGACTCAAAAATGAGAATGCAAGATTTCCGTAAAATGGGAATTATGCCCCGTCTGCAAAAACGGATCAATCACGAGCAGAAGCAGCCCAATAAATTATGAAGTAGGAAGAAGTCCTTTTGCTGGGCTGTACGTGCCTGTGAGCCCACGTAGTAGTGTCCGACATTTTTCGAATTAGAAGGATAAGCGCTGCAATGTGATATTACCTCCATGCTTAATATAAAACCTAAATAATTTGTACAAAAAAAAGATCCGGATGATATTAAAAAAATTAGTTATTTATATTAATACTAAATAGATACTTCTTTCTTAAAATATCATTATTAATTATGAACATTAAAACAACTATTGCAATCGCTACCGTAATTACTTAGAAGCAAAATAAATAAATATGAAAGGCAAAGTAAATTAAAATTTTATATTTAGAATCACATTAAATTTATAAATAACTCTTATATTAAAAATAAAAAATAATATTACAAATTGAATTAAATTTGTGAGGTATGAAGAAGCCTACATGCCACAAGTTGTAAGTCTGCCCATAAGTTACAGGACAATTAGCAGCGGCGGCTAGCCAGTCGAGAACCTCTCTTCTTCCCTTCTCATCCTCTGTCCTTGTCTTTTTTTTTTTTTTTTTAAGTTATTATGTCAATATTTTAACAGTTCAGAGATAAATCTTTTTAAAACTATTTTAAAAATATCAAATTATAAAAACAAATAGATAATAAATTATAAACTCTATTAAAAATTAATTCTAATAGTTTGCAAATATACTAAATATTTTTTAAAAAATTTATAAATAGCTTATAAAAAGTAAAATCTTAACCATTGAAATATGTTACTACCTCCGGTCCTAATTATAAGATCCAGTTGACTAATTTGAAGAGATTAAGAAAGTAAGTTGAGTTAGTTATTTGTCCTAAATTGGTATTTTCTTTCCTAAAATATCCTTACTAATCAAGTATATTGACTATAACTATCATTGTTAAAAGGGTTACTTTGAAAAAAAAATATATAAATATGAGAGACAAAGTGAATTGGGGTCTTATATTTAGGACCAAAATAAAAGTCAAACATAGTCTTATATTAAAGACCGGAGGTAGTAATTTCATTATTAGAAAAGAAAAAGGAGAAAAAAGGATGGGGGGGGGAAGAGTAGAGACTGCAAAGCGGAAGCTAGCGCTTACAAGAGATAATGATGCGCGAAAGTTTTGTCCTTTCTGGGTTACTTCTCACAGCTTCATTTGGTCATGAGAACCGATAACAAATGACCACGCCAAATTGTTCACCTGGTTCAATGCCATGAATTACACTCAATTATCAAAGTTAATCAGTTTATTAAAAATGCTTTGGGCACTTGGGTCCGCGTTTTTCTTTGACGGCAATCAATGTTGATCTTGAATGTTAAATTGCGAAATCGCAAGTGCTTGGCAGTGTTTTTAATGGCGTTAAATCTTGTTTGAATAATATATGAAAAAATATTTTTCTCCGTAAGATATGAATATTTGCTTCAAAAGGGCAAAGCAACAATAAAATCTGGATATCATGCAAATTAATGTCAATTTCCTGACGTCGCCGTCAACTGACAAAAATACACACACACACACACATATATATATCCACGTCGATTCATGTAGCACCGTGAGTTACTAATGTAACAACATTATTTTACATTATTTATTTGTTCAGGATGTCAAAGATTCACACTTTACGCTATTGGAAGTTGCGAGTGAGATTATTTACGGCAGAAATTTTGATATTTGGAGTTGCACCAAGCGACCATTTAGTTGTTGCTGGGGTCTCGCATTGGCATAAAATACCTGCAAAAGTAGACGAATCAAGCTGCTGCTCAGAAAATTTTTCCTTGGCGAGCATATAAAAGCGTTTATCACATTAAGTGATGAAATTTAATTTAATTACACTAAATTTACATTAAATGAAAGCCACAACGGGACTACAGATGTAATCTTATTATATGGCTGATGAACTCTGCTCAGTGTCATCTTTCTCGTCGGAGATAGTTTGTATATGAGTATAAAATCATGATTATTGATGAATTTTGATCATTCTTAATCTTTCTTCAGTACAGTTTCTTGTGGTTCCTATAGTTTAATGGTAATGTGGATGTGTATAAGGCGAGCGAAAGAAGTTAAAGTCATAACTTACGTCTCTTTTCAAAGGAAAAAAGATGGGGGGAAAACGAAGCTTACGTTTTGAACGGCAAGTCGAAGCAGTCCAACTTGCTCCTTTGAAACGGGTTTAACCTGATGAGATATGAAAAACGCAGAAGTTGAGAACAGCAACGATGACAAGGATAATCCCTCACGCACATTAGTGAAATAATGCGTTGACATGATTCTTATTATTGGCAAAGGAAGATGAAAACCTCTCCAACAATGGTCCACACCACATTCTCATCACAAGGAGGAGTAGTTAAAGAACCCATATATCTGTAATACCGTCTCCTGTTTATGTTGATGACAAGCTCTGGATCAATCACACCCAACGATAATTTTGCCTCTCTGTCTTGAGAAATGTGTACCAAATCATCCGTTACCTGAAAGAAAAGAAGACCACACACACATCCAAACACAGGACAAGAAAAGAAATAGCTAGCTAGCTATGGTACATATATATATATATATTTAATTAGCCACCGTTTGCAAGAAACGATCGGGTAACCAGCCGATTTCGTAAAATACGCCAATCACAGCAATCTGCCCTGCTTCACTTTTGTGCACCATATGTATCTCCAAATCAAACCTGCTTTTCAAATATTATGTGAGTGCATGAAGCGAATGCACGTATCGATCAAGCTTCCAATAGTATGGCCATGATATAAATGTGTACGATTAATATAATTAAAGAGGGAGCACCTTTTGCCATCAATGGTGTGTTCGGAAGGAGAGTGCCAGTGACACTGTTGGAGAGCGTATTTGGCTCCATTGATGAGAAGATAGCCTGCGCCTGAAGTCCACCCCAACTGGCTAGGCAACCATTCCCATATGATTAAATTAGCCATAAATCTGAATCATGTGTGTGTATAGAGAGAGAGAGAGAGAGAGAGAGAGAGAGTAACGTGAGGTGATTAATTACCCTAATATCATGGCCGGTATTAAAAAGAGATGCATTGGAGGGGCGATAGTTGATGTGAAGAGGGCCTAGACGGGATGTAAAGTGAACCTCACGATTGCTGAGACGAATGGGAGATTGGCTGCTTCCATTTTTGCACTTATACCACTCGGGACGAATGTCTCCCCAATGAGCCGGCCCATTCTTACTATTCGGACCGTAGTCAAAATCATCCCCTGTGCATCGCACCAACACGATCGAATAAAGCTGGAGAACACACATATAGGTGCTGTAAATCATATACGAGCGCAGCATGAAATTACCAGGAGAGGTTGCAGCAGAGAAAGAGAGGAGAAGAAGTGCCAGGAAGAAATGGGCGGTCAGGTCGTCCATGGATAATCTTGTTATTTATGGTGAGAGAGCAGTAGTGAAAGTGTTATATATATATAAAGCGTATATGTACAGAAGAGAGGTGCGAGTGAGAGTGAGAGACGCATAAATCGTTTGGGAAGGAGAAAGAGCATAAATGTAGAACACAGTGTCACTCACGGTTTGTAATTAAGTCGCAGGAATGAGGATTTTTTTGTGTTTTAATAAGGGAATATGCCATCTGGGTCGGTTTCCGCCAAAATTTTCGATCCAAGAATTGATTTTCTAATATCAGGAAATAGTGGTGTTTGTGTAATCGTATGATTACCGAAGTCGTCAGATCAAATATTGCAAAATGTACAATATCAATACCAATTCCTCCAACATACGTCTTGAGCCAAACAGGGCCCAAAGATTGCATGTATTCTTGGACGGCAAGCCGGGGCTTGGTTCATGCCATTCTGCATGATGAATTAATTCTTAAACACCCAAACGCAACTTGCTCCTTTTGATCTTTTCCTAATCTGTCTTTATGGATTAAGTGAGCTAAAGGTGCGGAATAGACGTACAAGTGTCTAGCAGTATAATAGCATTCTATTTTTACAATTTTAAATTCCCCTCCATACCTATTCCATTAACTGGCGTCTTTCTTATTTAGCGACCACCCCATATCAATTTCCCTCCTATGGTACGTTCTTCCCCACTTGTGAGAGCCCACAGATTCGTCTTCCGCTTACCACTTCATATTACCCAAAACAAAACAAAAAACTACCAAAAAAAATTTTAAATAACAAAATCAACAGGGTCCATATCCTTTGGAGAGTGGGAAAAATTGTTGCCCCAAATGGTAGCCAATAAATAATTAAAGAATCTATCACTTGATTTTTGGTGGCCAATCAGCATTTCCATTGCGTAACTTATCTCAACACGTATTCCATTGCGTGCCAAAGAAAAAAACACGTATGCCAAAAAAGAAGAACTTATCTCAACACGGTTTTTTCTATCTATAGTTTATGTTTAAATAAGAATGTTGAATTCCTTGATACTTGACTCAGCCCAGGGAGGTCATTATAGCTTGTTGAATTATTCCAGATCTCAACTTTAATTTGCGATGGTTGAAAAGACCCTCGCCAGCTGCTGGTGATCCATTATTACAGGGCCAAGACTACGACGAATTAAAATAATTTCGTATGGAAACAAAAATAATTAATTCTCCTCGGTCTATAGTATAAAACATATTTTATAATATAAATATGTTATAATATAATTTATATTATAAAATAGATCTTACACTTAAGATTGAATGGAGTATTAAATAAAAAGTATTTTCACATGCTGCACTTTCATTTAGTTCTCATTCAGTTCCAATCAACACGTCTTCTATCTAAGTAAATGTAAGAAGAGCCTATTTGGAATATTTTATAAGCAGTTTTTTAATTGTGATTTACAGAATACAAGATAAGTATGTGAAAGAAGTTTTGTCTTGGCTTACGTAAAACGTTTTTATAAATATTTGAGTAATGTCAAACAAGCTTTTTTTTTTTTTTTTACCAGCAGTGATGTCAAACAAGCTACAACAAGCTTCAGAATCAGCCAACTATGTTAGCCAAAATAAAATTTAAAAAAAAAAAAAAGAGGAGGAGGAGAAGAAGAGAATCAGTCAACTAAGCAAGGGAGCCATCGTGTGATGTAGCTGCTAAAAGTCGTCTCAGACTTGGGCTTAGCAAGTGGATGACTGAAATTGTCTTGAAACATAGGCCGATCAATTGGACAAGGCCCAAAATGGAAAATTAAAACAAATTTATCCGATAGGATTATGAAGTAGAAACCCTGCAAACGAATTAATTAGCCGACGACTAATTTGTTTAAATATAAATGAATCAAAACTTCATTTCACTACCAACTGTAAAATAAATAGAGAAAAATTACACTAGAAGCCTCAAGTTTTCAAGAATCTTTGAATTTCCCGCACATTTGATTAAATCCTTAAAATATAATTTATTCCAAGAAATATCTGGAACAACATTTAAGTGCTGGATACATCTATTACGTGACAGATCAAGTGATAGATATCAGGAGCACTATAAAACGTGCCTCGTTGACTTTTTGGATTATCCAATTTGGTCCCTCTAATTTGGGGTTTTCCTATTATGGTGTGTCCTTTGTGTCTTTGCACCCCATCATTTCAAGTCTCAATTTCTAACTATCATTATCTCTTTTTATGGATGTTGAGCAAGCCACCTGATGTTTGGTGCTCCTTCTAATGGGTTCTACACGCCCTATATAAGTAACTTCACCTTCACTTTCCTTTCTCTTGTGATTAAACCGCACACTGATCTTTACATGACCATCCACAGAGGTACGCAAGAGTAACTTGGCCTAACTTTATCCTGGTTTCCGTTTCATCAGTTAATTCCGCTGCTACAAATTCTATTTTGAGATAATAATTTAGGGATGAAGTTTGCAACAATTGTGTTGGTGGTGTTGATGATGCTGAACATATGCCTGGCTGCGGACGAGAAGGACTCCGTGAATGAAATAAAGAGAATGGATTCGAACCAAGAGGCCGATGATTCCAGTGTTCCTTATGGGTATGGTGGAACCACTTCTGCAGATAGCCACCACCACATCCCCAGGCGCGACTTCAATGGCGGCAATGGAGGTGGCTAAATCTGTGTATGCGTCCATGTTTACATCATTATATATATACATATACAACTGCCGTAGAAAGGGCTGAGGATAGAAAATAAAAAAGTTGCGGTGTATGCAATACTGCGGGTTGTCACCTATATATATATATAGAGAGAGAATAAATTGCTGTGTAAAGCCATATATGTGATAAGTAGTGATCGTATTTATGTGCATGCTCCTTTTCTTTCTCTACTTTCCTCTTATGGCCATTCTATTTGCCTGGTGACTAGTGAGATTGAGTGCCACTTCCCTTCGATAGACAGTAGAAACGCTAGAATTATGGAAACAAAAGGACATGAAAAGAAGATAACCAATCCTTCATATCGCCCAACAGATCGATCCATAGGTCTTCAAAATGATCAGAGCAATAGTAATTAAAAAAGGATCGAGGAGGCCTGAAAACAACGACATCGCCCGATCGACCACTCCCACCCAGCTGTGGCCTCGACAGCATCAAAGCCATGCCGTTTTAGGTTGGAGGGCCCGCACTTTTTTGTTAAACAGCCCATCACCGCTGCATCTCAAGACATAAAATATCGGTGGATATTCTAAAATTATGGTAAAATCTTACCGATACACAAAGTTCGGTTTTTTCCTTTTACTGAGAAAACCTTTCAGAACTTTTTGTTGTCAAGTATTGGTATAGTTGAGGGAGAGAATATAGATTCATGAGACTTCGATTCCCATTTAATTATATTCTGTGCATAATCACAGTATTTCCTTTATCTAATATAGATTTTTATTACAAAACGCTTCGAATATTTTAATATCACCCATTATGATTACCAAAGTTGGCATACCACTTCCCCCTTTTCCAGACGTGATCGCACAGCTTTCAGCACTCAGACGCTACTTTTCTTAAGATGTACCTCGTTACGGCTTAAATCGTCAAGATAAGAAAGAGTAGTCGCTATTCCAACATTGAAATTTCATACTCTTTTCTGCTTTTGTTAGTTATAGCTCGCGTAACAATTAGCAGAGCGGTTCCCTAATTAAGCACAAACAGCACGTAAATTCGTTCAGAACCATACACCAGAAAGTTGAATTCGAACATCATCATTTTTCTCTCAACATGTTTCAAGACGAACCTTGCACGCCAAACTTCATGGCCAGCCCAAGAACTCACCTAAACCTACAGACATAAAAATAGTGCGTAACCCAGATATGGTCACTTGAACGTTGAATCCTTCTTTCACTGAAGTTTCGACAGTTCCACTCAGTATTTTCTATGCTATCGTCTTTCCTTATTTTTCATGTTTTCTTTCCAGTTCTACTTTGGTGTAAAAGCAGACAGAAGATCTAACCCACAAAGTCATGGATCATATGCTCTCCAAAGTGACGTCTAATCTGGTCCTCCTGGTGTAATTGTTGCTGCTGCTGCCGCTGTACGCCTTCAACCCCATGTCTAAGACCCAATGTTAATGACACAGAACCAAGTCCCCCCACATCGAGGCCTGCACCGCGCCTGTAGGGTACAGAACCCATTAATGTCCCATCCATGTTTGGCGTAATCTGATATTCCAATTTGGACCTCTTCTCTTGATTCCATTGCTCTGAACCCATAAAACCCATTCCCTCCGAATTCCCACCTAAGGAACTCATTCCCAAACACTGGAACTGCTTCTCCGGTACTACGTCTCCGTGCCTACCAAACTTGCCAAGAGCTTCTTCAACCATAGTTTGTTGACTGCTTCTTTCTGCACCAGATGTTCCCTCGTTCTGGTTGCCACCGGCGATGCCTTTCGTTTCAAGATTGTGTATTTCCTCAACCATTGGCTTCCACACACGGACTCGAGCATTTATGAACCAATTCGATACCTACATATTCCTCATTTGTATTATTTTTTATATTTACACATGCATTCAAGCGACAATATCAGAAAGCTAAAAGGGTTGTAATACGGCAGATGTCGAGCCTTAATTATAAGGTTGCTGGACAAGAGAAAGAACACCAAACACAGATTACGAAGGCCTGAGAAATAAATGTTGTCCTGCTGGCCCATGGCATGGACCCATTAAAAACAGATTTGATGGCGTCAAATCCCAATTAATCAATCAACCAAACAGAAAAAACATACCGACAGAAAACAATAATGAAATAAGAGTAGGACCCCCACCTGGTTTCGAGATAGGCCAGTTTGTGTAGCCAGCATGTGTTTATCAGTATCCGTGGGGTACCTGGAAAGAAATCACGCAAGTGCGTCAATTTTTCTCGTCTTTCGACATAAGAGGGGAGGGAGGGACGAAGGGTTTACATACGGGTGAAGGAAATGCTCAAATAACCAAGCTTTAAGAATCGCGACTGCGCGTTCCGGCAAGCCTCTCTGGGGCCT